CAAGTCCTGGAGCTTGAGTTACCTGTTTCCATCACTGGTCTTGGTCACTATTGGGTCCACACCGTCTGTTGTTCATCACATAAGTATGTGTAATAAAAATGAGTTCCCTACTTAGATCGTTGTTCCCCAAGAGTAAACAATCAATCTACATGACTACGGATTTCCCCTTTTCATTGTTCCTCACTTTGCGGTGTGAAATAATTTCAGTTTAAATTTGCAGTTTAGCTACCCTTGTCTTCACCCAATCCAAATACAAGGCACATGGTACACATGGTTTTTATTCATCGCACCTGTGCAAATTGTTTTACATACGCTTGTCACTCACCAAGGCTTTTCGTTCTCGTGCGATTCTCGCCTATCGCATCAGAGCCATGGGAAGGAACAGCTCACGGGAGCTGCTTCCCCCACTCTCAAAAACAACCTATTTATCTAGTAAACATGCGTAGTCTAGGTCGTTTGAACACAAGTATTGACTCTGCTCATGTGACCTGTTAGAGATTTGGATGAAGTCACACGTATCTTTACAAAATCTTTGGAGCAGGTCACCGTTTTTTCATGGATATTTATTATAAAAGACCATTTGGTGCATTCTATGTTTAACTAAAAAACATTCATTGTCATATAAAAAATTTGTTTCTCGAGAAAACGGGATAAATAGTGAAGATCTGGGAAATGCGCTGGAGATTGGTAAAACCAGTGCTGAGGTAAGCGAGATGCGATGCCCATAACAAGCTCACGAAGATGGGTTTTGCTGTATCGTGTGTGTCCAAAATGAGGAACAGGCTGATCAACTGCCCGGTGACCGAGTGGGTAGTATGCTTGCATGCTACCTGTGGGGTCTCAGGTGCGATGGGTTTACCCTGCTGATGAGACCTAACCAAGTCGAAACAATCAACGTTTTTTTATTGCACACACATGTGATGAAGATGTGCTGTTTAGTGACGGAAATCGGCAACTTAAGTCACGAGTCTTGGGACGGCGAACTACATAGTGCTCCGCTAGATTAGACGTCGTATTGAACGGCGCGACAGCAGACCTCCCTGCCACCAGTTGTGAATTCCTTGAGAAAATTCGCTTGCTTAAACCTGGAAAACCTTGCAATATTACACCCATAAACAAATGCTATATATATATATATATATATATATATATATATACGTAATAATATAAGTGTTCTAAGTAGCATTCTCGATCTTCCAGTGGATTGATACATCAACGGAAGTTTGGTGATCAAAGTCTTTTTTCAGCTCGTGTTGTTGGCACCGGCTTTGTTCTTTCAGATCAATCGCAATTATTAAACATTGCCAGGCATTCATTTTCTAACAGTCTATTTTGTACCATTGCTAATTATGTTTCTAGTGCGTCGTCCGAACAGATGTATTTCACTCCGATTCGATGACAACGCACCAAGTTACGCTTGTACACAGAACTATGGAAATTTGTGTACTGTCTGGTGTATGTGACTTGTGGATGTGTTACTTAGTGGCTGAACACCAACTGGATACTTTCTTGTTCGTTCTAGTTCCGTCGAAACCAGTTACATGTTCCGTATGATAGTTTTTCAATCTCTTAACAGCTTCTTCAAATATTTTTCATGTACTTGAACATATGGAATGAGTTGAGAATGAAAAAAGAATTTCTTCTACCCGCGCTATTCTATTGCCCATTTCGATGTGACGGACAGTTGAAAGGGTAAATCACCATGGTCACGGAGATTAAAGTAGGCAAACGAGCGTCAACCGTTGAACCCGATAGGATTTCATTGAGGTAGACCGTAGTTCGGATCCCGGTCACAATATTAGTGACTTACGTTAAGTGTAACGCTGCAATTGGATAACGATCTTATAACTCGCCATCATACGTTAGGGAAGCTGTAAGTGCGGTAGTTCAAACATACATGAATTAGATTGCTGTTGCTAACATCCCTTTTTGCAATTCTGGCCTGGCTAGGGTCGCTTTTTGTTCATATGCTCGCAACACAGTAATCTGATTGCAATTATTTCATGCTACTGTGAGTTGTTGTCAGTTTGAGTGAATAAGAGACTGCTTTGCTATCCGAATATCAAAATCAGTCGGTGACTTGATCGCTTGACGTGGGCACGTCCATCCAACGCACCAGTGCTATTTGCTGTTATCTACACTTCAGGAATACCAGTACTCGTCAAGACATATTTGTGATATAAGATAACCTAACTCATTTAATATCTCCATCACTTATTTTATACAGACTGCCTTATTTCGTTATTCTCCGCCGCTTTTAACACGCACATTTAACTCGCCGTTACTTGCTAGTAATGGTGTGGGATGGTTGATTGATTGGAACTGAATTCATCTTCTTACACACAATCCTCAGCTCTTCCAGCCAACCAGTCAACAATCGAAATCCCGCTGCACTCCATCGATTTCTTCCAATACACCTGACTGAATTTTCGGAACTGCTCACATTTTTGATTGAAATAGTCTTACCATGTTGTTTCTTTTTTTTACTATACTGTCGTGCGATTCAATACCATGCCTAACCTTATATGGTTCGCCACTCCAAGTCCTTGTGGCTATGTAGTTCGCCCCGTCTGCTGTTCACCACAATTAGGTGTGTTATAAAAGAAAATTGCAGTGAGTTTCTGGTAATCAAATAACACGAACAAGCAGTCACGCACCGTGCATTGCTTGGTCGTGTTCATCTAACACTGTCCGATTTGCTCCTCCTGCTTTCCCCCGCCCCGCTTCTTTCGGCCTCCCCCGTGCTGGTTTTTAACGTGCGTTTCGCAACTGATCCTATCAGTGGAAACTCAAAGAACCGGTCAGTCTGAGTTGTACCATACCGTTGTTCGAACCGTTCCCGGCACAATATTTGATTCGTGTGATTAGTGATCAGTGGCTCGGAGCCGATTCGGTATATGCGATCTCTTTCAAACGCCTAATCCTTCCGCCAGCTGATCCACCGCATACGGGTAAGCATGTTCCCTGATCATTCTAGTTTTCTTATTCATTCACTCGTTCATGTTGAATTAGTGGTCCCGTCCCGAAGTGGTCCATTCCACATCCACTACAGTGGATAGAAAAGAACTTTTCCGGTGGTCATCTGGCAAATCAGGATAGAATAGGCGTTCCAAGTTCGTAATAAATGTTTTTTTTTCTCTTTCGATAACATCATTCATATGGGCATTTCTTTGCATGTGTACGTCACGCTCCAATCTGATGTCCGCGTGTAAAAGCTCGCTTGTGATGGTAGATGTTGGCGTCGCGTGAACAAACCTGTGTACTTTCTCCCTACATCTGCGAAAAATGCTCGGTTTACCGCACCTTGATTCCCCAGTTTTAGAACGAGATGCCAAAATTCTTTGTCCCGTTTAAGTTGGTCAATAAGCACGCGGTAAATTCGGCAGCACGTTCAGTTCACACGGGTTGGCAAATCGCACGCTATAAGTTTGCATGGCGTACTTGTATGTGTGTGTGTGTGTGTGTGTGTGTGTGTGTGCACCACACTTACCTGGTGTGCACCAATTTGGTAGCTTGCGGTCGCGATATTCTCCGTGTTCATGAGGGACCCATTTGAATCAACTCCAAGTTTTATTTGGAGCTTCAAGATGTTTTGTGTGTGCGATGTTTACCTTGACTGAGCACCACCTCAAACGACGATACAAAACCACTCAGTAGTACGTAGTGTTGTGGCCTACAATGGAATGTCGGGAGCAGAGAACTGTTGTTGCAAGAATAATGGGTTAATGCACGATGGACACTGTTGATGACACTCAAGTATACCCTTCAGTGTCTGTAACCTTTGGTTACCAATGTCATACCCTCATACCATATCTTAGTTTGACTGCCCCTGACCTTTTTGCATCCCCCACATACCTCGGCAAACATTGGGCGCCGTGGAAAGCTATTCGCTGACATGCACAACACGTATTCCAGCCGTTGTAATCTCTAAAGGTCAACCACGTGTTCTAGAGGACGACCGTGGTCACCTAAAACTCTGCATGTAACCCCAGCATTGCTCATCCGGTTTCCCCACCAGATTAACTCAATGCGACATAGACCGCGGTGTTCAAACACTAACCGTCTCTCTTGATCCTGTTTTCTTAATGAACAAGTCTCTGCACTGATAGGCAGAACTGCTACGGCATAGACCCGACCCTTCACACAGCCGAGTGTCCCGACGGCGTCATAGATGTCTCAAGTTGGTAGATGTTACCCGAGCCTTTTGTGTGCGTGCCGACACTTCATTTATGACGCATGCACCAGAAAAGCTTGCAACTTACCTGGATCTTCACTTAGTAGCACAATGTGGTCTGCATACGCTCTAGATCAGATAGTCTACCACCTGGTACCATCGATGACAGTGCCTGCGCACGTTTACAAAGCAAAGTTTATAAGAGGAAGGTTGTTTGGTCAGTCGCAGTTTTGGAAATCAAATCTCCCAAACCGAGATCACAACCGCCGAACTATAGCCTCAATATATAATTACATTTCTGTTCCGACTAATACATATCGGTAGCGTGTTCCTTCACGCATCTTGCACACCAGTCACATTTCATCCGTTCTGTGTTCCTCTCCATTGACAGATCTGTTGAATCTGGAACCGCTCTCAGTCACCGCGTTACAGAACGCTCAGTATGAGATGCTGTACAAATTCACTCACTTCAATCCGATTCAGACACAAATCTTCCACACACTGTATCATCAGGATGTGAATGTGCTGCTAGGTGCACCAACCGGATCCGGTAAAACAGTCGCGGCCGAATTAGCCATATTCCGTGTATTCAATGAAACCCCGAAGAAAAAAGTGAGTTATTCACTGAAGTTGTTTTTTCGTATTGTTTCCGTAACTGTTGTTCGTCTTACAGTATAAATAATGACAATACTGTTCGCAATTGTACAAACATTTTATGCACTTATTCATAGGGCTCTCACTTGTGGTGCAAGGATGTGTGACTGCTGCTACGATGGCCGTGTCGTGGTTCGAACGAGACTTCCAGAGTGATTAGGTGATGGACAGCATCACTTAAGTGGTGACTCACCGCCACTTACAGAAACAACATCTTCCCTTATCTTGTCCGCTTTGTAGCGAACCGGGCATCAATTATTGCAGGTTTGATGGAGCATCTCGCCCTTCCGGTGCATCGAGCTGAGTTTAACTTGACTCGACTTGAAATATTCCACCGTCTTTTGGCTAATGACTGAATCCCACTGCGGTAGGGTCCGCATCATCCTACTGCATATTTTGAACTTGGTCGTTTGATTTTCAATGCTTTACAGATCAAGTTTCATGCGTCAGGGAAATGTAATTTTTCTATTGTACCGTGAAAAGCGCAGCTCTTTCCAAACTATCTCTGCATATATCTTTATTATTATTATTATTATTATTATTATTATTATTATTATTATTATTATTATATACTACTAATTCGGTAGTTCAAACGAACAGTTTTCTAATATGTATCTAACTAGATTGATCATACCCTTTTGTGAAATGCCAGGTTTCGACCACTTTTAATTGGTTGTATTTTCATGTGGGATCATCTTCCCCCTACCGTTCCCGTCATTCCTTCTCTTCTCGATCACCGAATGCCCCGACGCTGTTGCTTTGAACAGTGTGTGTATATTGCCCCACTAAAGGCCCTTGTACGAGAGCGAATTGAGGATTGGAGCGTTCGGATCGGAGAAAAATTAGGCAAACGGTACGTTCTTCGTAACCCACGTGACCATGGTCATTTCACGTTCTGCTTGCGTGCTCCCAGTCCCGTCAGGATTATGAACATCTATTCTCATGCCGCTTGTACTGAGGCAATAGTTGAAATGTAGTGTCTGATAGCAATTTGTAGTAGGTTCACCCCGTTGTACACTAATCCGCACGAATGATGGACGTGTTATCTATCCCCCAAGAGACCATCACTTGTGGACTACAACAACCAAGAAGAGGTTCAAGAACCGGTTACCGGAACGGCAGACCTTCGTGTCTATGGGGCTCACCCCATCGGCTGTTCACCGGACAAATGTGTGTGTAATAAATTTAAAAAAAGCAAAATAATAGTATAGATCAGGTATAAGATGGAGACAAATAAATTTGAAAACTAGCACAATATCTTTCTGTGAAGCATCAAGGGTAAAATGTTTGCAAGTCTCTCCACCCGGGATGAATGGGAATACACACGTTTGCTTCACTCACGTATAGTTGATGTTTGCTCCAAGCATGAACAAAACGGTTCTTCACACGTTGCTCTGAGCGTCAACGCCAAACCGACTGTCCATTGGATGACCAGCATCTCAAGAGTTGAAGATCCGTTTGCCTTTACGTGGGTCATTGAAATCGCATGTCAGTACCTAACTTGCATTTTTAGCACTAGGGTTCACGCGGATGCTTTTATTCATCGCAATGGTACATCGATCTGCTGATTTTATCCGATGTACGGCACTTTGTGCTTCGCTGTTGACTGTTCACGATAGAAACGAAATTGGTGAAACTTTATGATAACTGAAATGTGGGCTTCATGCTTGCAGAAGTTATTACAATACAATACAGCTTTTAGTTATGTCTCATTACGAAAGCGATGTTGATCCGTGCTGACCCTGATTGTGTCACGCGATCGGTTCACTATATCCCTGTCGCGCCAGTACCAGTGGGATTTCACTGTTCCTTATTATTACACGAACACAATTGACCAGCAGCAGTACACTATGGTCCCATGCACGCATATGAATTGAATCTGTCTCCTCGGTCTCTCTGTCTTTCATTTATAGATCTCGTGACATCATGTGACACGCACACACATGCACAAGGACATTGAAGCTTCGATTTGACACTCATGAGAACACACACACACACACGAGTGTGGTCCACTCGTCATTTCGTGAATGATGCTAGGTGGTGTAAGATGAATTGTCTGAGTGATGAGCGGACACTGGTAATACAGTTGTTATCGTTTAGCCTTGGTCAATTCCAACTTCATTGGTCTTGTAACGACGTTGTTGGGCTTAAATTGGACAATCGTGCTTCGCTGAAACATATCACGCCGCATAAGCTTGACCATTAGGAAAACAGGATAGAAATAGACTGTAGGTGTTTGAACACCGCTGTCTACGCAGCATTGCACGAATCTGGTGGGATAGCCGGACGAGCAATACTGAGGTTAGGCGCAGAGTTTTAGGTGGTCACGGTCGCTCACTGGAGCAAATGGTCGACCTCCATCGATTACGGTGGTTTGGGCATGTGTGTCACCAGATAGGTTGCCACTGCGGGCGGTGTTCACCGAGGTAGGTAGTGGGTGGAAGAAAGCCAAGGGTGGCAAGCAACATTAGTCCACTGAAATTCTAAATTTTCTCCTTGACCCTACTTTCAACCTTTTCTGCCTTTCTCCTAATGTTCATTTAAATGGGCAGACAAAAGACAGCAATCGAAACCGGCGCACGATAGTGCATGTTTAATGGTTGTACAAATTGAACTGAAATGAAACCAAACTTTTTAGTTTGGAGGACCACGAAAACAAACAAACAGTGCGTTGTTTTTTTATTTCTCCGGTCAAAAGTTGTTGGAAATTCTGACCTGGTGGTTTAACAAACTCATTGATGGCGTTCAACGACATCACAGAGAAGAACCTTCATTTGGTACGCTTCTCTGTTCTGTTCTGTCAATGAATGAGCAACTCACACGTGCTGTATGTTTGCATGCGCTCCGTGTGAGCAGAGAAGGCAATTTTGTGGTGGTATCTGCACATGTTTTTGTGCATGCTTGTCCTCCACATGTCGTCTATAAGCTTCAATTCGGTATAAAGTCGGTTTCCTCCTTTTCAGGTAATTCCTTCTCACTACACGTCACTTTGCCCTGCACTCACTAACTTTATCTCGTCTTCCTCTGTAGAGTGGTTGAATTGACTGGAGATGTAACCCCGGATATTTGGCAACTGATGCACGCGGATCTGATAGTGACCACACCAGAAAAATGGGATGGGATCTCACGATCCTGGCAACAGCGTGCGTACGTGCGCCACATTGCTCTGATTGTAATCGATGAGATTCATCTGCTCGGAGAAGAACGCGGTCCGGTTCTTGAGGTTTGTTTTCTTCACCATTTGTTTTGCCTAATTCACTAGTTTGAAAAACCGCATTGTGTGGACACGGAGTTATTTGATTCGATGCAATCGTATCAATATCCGGTTAGTTTTTTTATGCCGGCGGATTTCTGCATTACCTCCAGCAGAAGCGTCACCTCTGTTTAAAGAACTTTATTCTCATCCTCCGACTGATTGGTCCATAGTTGTCTCGATCAATGCCTTACACCTACCNGAGCGGCACTCCAGATTGATTTCATTTTGGTACATGCTTGCTGGGTCTCGTCGGTAGAAGACTGCCGTTCCTATCGCGGCACAGAAACTGGAAACAGGATCTGCACGGACCATACCCTTGTTTGCACCCGCTCCACTTGACTGCTCGCCGGAAGACTTGTCTCCCGGGTAAACTCAACGTCGCGCTCTTGGAACGACCTGCGAGAAGGCAACCGATGCTAGACGTAACCGCCTCCAACGTAGCCGCAACTTTCTTTGATGATTCAACTGTCGATGCACAGTTGTCTACACTGAAAACCTCCATCAGAGAAACGGCACCGAGACAGTTAGGTGAGATTCTTCGACCCAAGAGAGAGTGGATCTCCGAGCGTACACTGCAGTTGTCCGCAAAAGCAAGAAATGCACGGCTGAATTTTGTTTTCTCCGTCGCCAAGCCCCACACCCTGCCAAAAGTGACCGTAAACAATATTGAAAGGCGATTGCAGACAGCATGGGGGCTACAACCGTCGCAGCGGACTCTGGAAAGCTATTCCGTCTAATTCGTGTCGCAGCAGAAAAGAGGCAGACTTCGGAACCACTGTTGCTCAGCACCACAGGCCAACACATTCAGGGAACTGAGGAAAAATGTAAAGGT